AAAATGATTAACGTGTAGGTCACGTGGCTGTTAACGCTCAACTGTGAAACATGATTAACGTGTAGGTCACGTGGCTGTTAACGCTCAACTGTGAAACATGATTCACGTGTAGGTCACGTGGCTGTTAACGTTCAACTGTGAAACGTGATTCACGTGTAGGTCACGCGGCTGTTAACGTTCGACTGTGAAACATGATTAACGTGTAGGTCACGTGGCTGTTAACGTTCAACTGTGAAACGTGATTAACGTGTAGGTCACGTGGCTGTTAACGCTGAACTCTCATAGCTATTAAGACCTAAATGTTAAACATAAATTACACCTCTCTGTTCTAAGTTTAAGCATTTGTTTCTGTTTTCAACGCGTTCACAATGGAATGTATATCCCTTTCAGACATTTAGCGACGAGCCTCCCAGTGGCACGGCGGTATATCCGCGGACGTACAACGCTATAATTCGGGTTTCGATACCCGTGGTGGGCAGAGCACAAACAGCCCATTGTGTAGCTTTGTGCTTAATTACTAGCAAACAAATTTAGCGATGAGAGACATCTATCGGTGATTTGTAGTCAGAACAACACGTAATCCAAAAGAAAGAAAAAAAATCATTGCTCAGATAGTAAAAAACATGTAAAAATATTTGACTTGCTTTTCTCTGAATATGGTAAGAACAACGACAGTTCTTTCCTGATCGTTATGAATAAATACTTTCATACACCATGACCATTATTTATTCTCTCCAATGTATTCCGTATGTCTGTTGGTTTTTTTTCTACGTTCACAGCGATAAAGCTAAGGCTTAGAGGTATATCTGAGGCTATTATTCAGTGCTAAGTTTTAATTTGTATTCATCGTTATGTCCTTGTTTAAAACTTCCAAATGCATCTGTGTTTCGCTTAGATTAACATAAAAACATATATTTACGATAACAATAACATTTTAAATTGCATAATTAAAATATTATACTTCAAATAGAACTCCCTCTTAGTCAATGACAAAAATAGCTAGTGTAATTTAAAAGATAAGTACAAGTCTACGTTTCCTAAAAACGGTCAAAAATATATCCACTGAACAATACAAAATTAATTAGTAACGTGAGCGTTGCATGTTCACGTAGGTTACTCGTGGTGAATGAGGGACCTTGCAAATATTATACAAGAAAAGTGATTCCCTCTGTTATTCGGTTTGTCCTTATCCAAAGTCCAGGGTTACTTCTGAAGGGAGGAATTCCC